CGTGTCTCCTCAAATTGTATGTTTTACAACATATTTCAAGGAGAATCAAATCGGAGGGGGGGACGACTTGTGAACGTTCCCTTGTGAGTATCGTTGGATCTGCCGCTAATTTTCGTGATTGCGTTTCCGCAGTATCATATCGTTACCAAAATTCATTCTTGTTACCGATTTTGTGGGCGAATTGCCTTACTGCCGCCGTATTAAACTATCTCCGCCGTATCGGCTCAGGCCGAACCATCTCTACTCATCTTTAACCCATGCTAACCAAATTGTTGAAATATATTATTGTTAAATCTTGATTATTGAGTTGTCCTTGTGTTCGCCTCTCACTCCAGACTTTCAACGTAAAGTAAAAGAGCTGCGCCCCTCTGCCATACACTGAGCGAGGAGCGACCGGACATATTATAAGAATTATCTAAGTTACCGTTACCGCGGTGCGATTGCACGCACCTGGCGCCCATTTCCGGTTACCGATATCGCGTGAGTTACCTTGCTCCCGAATTACGCGGAGCACCGCGAGTTACCGAAATCGTGCATTTATTGCTGATATCGCGTGAGTTACCTTGCTCCCGAATTGCGTGGAGTACCGCGAGTTACCGAATCGTGCAGTTATTGCCGATACCGCGCGAGTTACCGAGCTCTCGAATTACGTGGAGTACCGCGAGTTACCGAATCGAGCATTATTTGCCGATACCGCGAGTTACCGAGTCGTGCGTTTACCGCCGACACCGCGTAAGTTACGTGGCTCCCGAAGAACGTGGAGTACCGCGGGCTACCGACTTTCAATGGGCGTGCTCCCTCGGATCTGGCGTGATTCCGAGGCTAGTTCACGTCGCAATACAAAGTACAGTAAGTATATAGATACAAAGATACAGTGTCAACTATTGTAAATTATTTTAACTTGTAAATAACAGGTGTAAAAAAGTGGTACAATAGGGCTCCAGGCGACAATCCACTTAAAAAAAAATTGAACGCGCCATAAGAGGAACCTCAAAGGTGGTGCGAAAGACCACTACTTATTAATAATACTAATAAAATTACTAATCTTACATTTATTTGACTTCATTTTTAATATGTTACTGTGTTCCTCCACTAATCTCCACAGTACATGTATATGTAGTTACTGCAGTAACTCTTGCTAATATGCAGTAGTTTAAAATAAATAATTAAAAGCTTTGCAGGTGTGTAATCTTTCATGTTGATAAATGTAAAATAGCAAGCATGGTTAAACGAGTGAGGCGAATGGCAAGAATATTAAAAATCTCGTGTTTGAAAACTGTGATTTTGTAACTTTTTTCCTTTTCGATATTTGTTTTAAGTAAATTATTAGTATGTTTTTGGCTAAAAAAAATTATTTATTTTACTAAAAATATTCGCATATGTTAAATT